CTACACTAATTTGGTCAAAGGTTAGCAAATTATTAGAATGCTAATGTTAGCCAATATTTTTCACTTTATTTGATCAACAATTAGCAGGTTGTTAGAATGTTAATACTTAACATTTTTTTTTTACGCTACATATAGTATACTAGGTGATCCCATAGTGTAAGTAATGCTTGATTATTTCATATCTTTATCTTATCAAAATCATTATCATTCTATCTTTGTCGTGCGAAATCATTCGTATATTTCAATATTTCAGGTGACAATGATCTTCTTTGCTTTATCAGCAATTTGGCATTGTTTCACATGGCCTAATCCAATGGATGCCCTACAATGGAATTTTAGTGTTCGACCACAAGTAAATATTAAACCACAAATGGTACTTATTTCTACTTTTATCATATTAAAATTAATTTTATCAATACCTTTTTTTTTTTTTTGATAGATGAACAATACTAAATTGTCAAATTTGAATTTAAATTCAAATTCTAAACTTTTATTATCATTTGATGTAATTTTTGCAGTCTTTAATTACAAAAAGTCATTCAACTCCACAATTGACATCATCATATTCCAATCAAAATAAACCTATTCGATCGCAATCCCAAATAATACAATGTAAAATGAATGGAAAAATGGATGTTGGCGTTGTTGTACGCCTTAAAAATATTCTTCTTGATCATATTTTTACAGCTTATGAAATTATTATCAATTTGCTATCATTAGCAAATTCATTTGCTACTACTATATTTGGGTAAATGAATTTTATTTATTATTGAATTATTTAATTTAAAAATATTTTGAAAGCTAAATACATAATAGGCGAACACTTTTTTTTTTTTGCTATTTTTTAATTTTTTCTCCTGAAATTATCAATAAAGCATTATTCATGAATGATTCATCTTCCAGTTTATTCAATATTTTTTTGCTTTTTTTCTTATCAAAGTTCAATTTAATATCAAATATTTATCGATTACTTTTCTAATTTCATATGTAAAAAAAACAGATCACAATCAAAACATTCGATAATATCAAATGACAATTGTCTTCAACAATCAATTTCTGATGATAAACAATTTTCCACTGATAATAATCATCAATAGAATTGGATTTAGTAAGAAATAAACGAAAATATACTCATAATAATGATAATGTTAGTTGGTGCTTATCTTTCCCATTTATCAATCTAATATAAATTCTATTTGAGGACAATTTTGGACAATTTTAACCATCGATATGCATGATGATGATAACTTTCTGTTAGGATTCGAC